AAAAAAAAAAAAAAAAAAAAAAAAATAGACCTACTTCGATAAAGTTCACACCATTCGGAAAAGAAAGACATAAAACAACTTAGCCTAACCTAATTTAAGATGTATTAAAATGTCAAGTGTGATTCTGACATCGATCATGCATCCATCTAGAAAAATTAACGCACCCATAATTAATTACGGGTTATGGCATAACGTAAACTTCGTGATAATTCGCAGAAGCGGTATTTCCCAGCGGCATTTCAGAAACGATCGTCGATCTACACATATTACATGAATTACTACGATCGAGACTCCAGCTCATAACTATCACGCACGTGATTCGATAATTTGCGATAATGTCGCCAAACCTCAATATGAACGCAGTGAAAATCACGCGACGACAATGCAGCTCTTTCGTGACAAGTGCTGCGGCACGCGTATCAGAATCCATACATACACAAAGGCATGTGTCTCTACGGGTTCAGCCATTTTCGAACCGTCATGTATACGCCTTGGCGATACACACATGCAATCCGTCAACAATTAGACGTGACACCATTCTCACACGCGACAAGCGTGATGTATGTGTGTGTGTATGTGTGTGTACGCGCGCGCGCACGTGTATTCACATGAAAGCCACGCGCGCTATTTAGATATACATATATAACATGGCACGTAGAAACACCCACGCATACACAGGCCAGATACCAGACATAGCGATGAAAAACCTATACATTCAAATATGCCCTAAAAAAACAGTAGATGAATATTTTCCAATGAAGAAATCTCCACAACGCCTGTGACTCTCCCGAATTAAATGCCCGAGGCGCGTACCAACACTCGGGGGTGAGCAGAAACGTCAGCGCGGGAAAGATGGCGGCTGATAAATGCGGATGCGCTTTCTCGTTCCCGCTCGAGAACGTTCTACCATTGCTCACGTTTCATAAAATAACCGTCGCGCGTCCCGTTCCGCTTTCACACGATCGACGACATGATGATCGCAAAAATGATTCGTAAGAAAGTGCAAGAGAGAGAGAGAGTGAAGCTAACACGAGGAGCGCGAGAATACTGTTCTCATCAGTTTGTCAGGTGTGAACGCTAAATACCTCATTTTTCCCAGTTCCGTGTCTCTCCCAGTCTCTCGACAACGATGTGGCTCGAACTGTCGACGTGACGGGTGACGCTGACCGGAACACGCAGCCTGCAGGTGGCTGCGTCGGGACGCAAACGGCGCACGAGGCTCCAGTGCCGCTGACAATAAGGGGAACTTAGCAGCCGTGACAAACGCACAGCTGTATCAAGCTTACCCTAAGCTACGGTGGCTGTCCGTGGCTGCTGTCAACAATCACAACGACACGACCTTTCGACGACGCGGAACGGTAACTCACGACTATTCACGAGTGGCGGCGCGCGATCAGAGAAAACGCAACCGAAACAGATGGAAACGAACAGAATCGTCGTTAGATGGCGCTCGGGTATCGGCGAGCATTGCGTGGTCGGTATTTTACCTACTTACAATATCTCGGGCAGTTGGATCTCTGGTTGGACTTCTAGGACCTTCTAGATTGGATTCTTTGGATCACAAAAGTTTATTTGAGTGGATAGGAATATGCCCGCATTTTAGATGGAAAAATATAAAGAGTAAGTTGAACTAAGATTAAAGTTAATTTTTTATACACTGCGAAAAAAAATTACTAAATTTTAATAAATATTTCTTTCAATAATCCTAGAAATATTTATTAAATGTAAACACATATATATATATATATATATTTAGATACAAAAATTTAGATACATTTAATAATTTTTTCTCAGTATACACATATATTAGTGAAAATGAACATTAATAATTCAAGTGAAAATTACAAAAATGAGCAAATTCAAATTAATAGATGCTGATCAATAAAATTGTAGATATTCCGGTTTAGGTACTCATTTTTGTAACATTTAAGCATTTATTTTTTAAATTTGAAACGTGACATTTCAAGGTTTAAAAAATATGTGTATTTACAGTGTGTGTGTTAATTAAAAAAGAACTACAGTCTCGTTTGAAACTGTTTCTCAACTAGATCATGTAATGATTAAAAATACACTAAAGTCAATTATTATTTTTTTAATTTTGCATTTTTCTTACAAAATTTTGTGCGTACAATTTTTTTTAAATTTTAAAATAAAAAGTCTACTTGATTTTGAAATAGAAAATATTAATTAATTTTTATATATAACGAAAAATTGTTATTAATATAGACAGTCTTTATTTTTATATTTCATCATTGAAATTCTCTCTTGAACATATAAGAAATCTTCGAGAAAATTTTAGAAATTCCTAAAACTAAATAATATTTTTTTAAATAATATTAAGTAAACTTTTTCCTTATTGCAAATAAATGTTTACTAAGCATATATTATTTGATTTAAGTAATAATTACTTTCCTTTTTCGAACAAATATTTATTGGCAGTATAAAAAGAAAGGTTTACTTATTATTGTTAATATTCAATAAAATATTACTTAAATTTAGAAATAGTTTTAGCGTATCATTTTTATCGAGACTTTAATCAGGATATTAACATCATAGAAATCTTAATCAATTTTTAAAAATTGATTAAGACAAATTAAAATTAACTTAATAAGATAAACTTAAATTAACAGAAACTAAAAATTGTATACACTTGAATTATTATGACTATGTAACGCTCAAATCAATTTTTTCGATGTTATATTTATGATGATAAAAATACTTAAAAGCTTATCGGTATAATCTAAGAAGAGATTGTAGGAAGAAAACTGCAATTAACTTTCGTTTCTTTCCGCCATCTCCGCAGTAGATTTTATCATCGGTTAAAGATATATCCGTAACACAATAGAATTGGAAAAACCGATATAGTACCACTCCTTATCACAAAACTTATTTGAAAACTTATCGTATTATCTGCAGCTTATCCTGTTTTCTTTTCTTTATTATCGAAATGTGAAAGCATCAAACATATTGTACCTATGTTATTTATTGTCGAATATACGTATACAATGAATTTTTCTTTCATACTTATTGGTGCAATACGAAAACTAAATCAGGTGTTTAATTTAAAGAAAAATATTCTATATGATAATATTTTATTTCTTTATTTTAATCATTGACATTTGGTAATTATGTGATCGCTTTTATTTATTTTATTTTTCCTATTTTTACAATTTTTAATTTTTTTTTATATTGAAATGACATTGTCGCACTCCAAAATTAAAATGTGTATTCACATTTTGTTTGTGTTTTATTTTATTAAATTTAATTTTATACTTCTAAAATTTACAAACGTAATTTTTTTACTCAATAATAAAATTTGAAGAAAATCTTTGAGATCTTTTTGCATTAGAATGTATATTTAGATAGTTATATTCGTCAACGTTTCTTTGAAATAAAATGCAACGTTTCAAAATTTAAAAAAATACGTGTCTTTATAGTGTTAATTAAGAAAGAACAAGTCGCTCTTTGAAACTATTTCTCAACTGTGTCGTAATGATTAAGAATGCATCACAAGTACATTTTGTATAATTAAATATAACTCATGTAGTTATTAAATAAAACAGTACTAGATTGTTAGATTTACGATAAAGAAACAATTACACAAGCTCTTGTTATCTCGACCGAATATAGTAATATATAATAAATATAGATACCAAATTTTTGTCAAAACATACTTGCATTTAACCAACATTAATATAATACATCTTTGTCATTAATTTTTTCCAATTTTTATCATTGTTGCTATCCGTCAAATAAATATTATATCACTGTATCACATTTTTTTCACGCTGTATTACGAATTTTTGCTATTACAAAGAAGGTGTCGGACTTAAAATTAAAAGAGAGAGAGAGAGAGAGAGAGAGAGAGAGAGAGAGAGGGAGAGAGAGAGAGAGAGAGATCGACATCTCTATAAGTTTCTCAATTTATAAAATTGTAACAAAAACTCTTTAAAAAATTTCTTGTGATTAAAAGAACTGATATTAGCAGTTGTAAAATGATTAATTAAACGTTTTTGCAACAAACATCATCAATAAACCATATCAGATTGTCATGCGTGTAGCCATAGGTCATGCTCGACAGAAAGAAGCACCGTATAATACCTATAACATTTATGAAATCGGACAAATGCGTATGCAATGTGGCAACAGGCGAGTGTACACATCGATTTCCAATGTGCACAATATACGCTCTGTTCGTCTCTATAGAAAGAAAGCCCATACTACAATCCTTCGTCCTTGCCTTCCTTTCTGGTCATATTAACCATGTGACCAATATGGCGAAGGGCGTATACGAATTTCCGGCATTTTTCTCCGCTTCACCGTAAGTGAACGCTGTGAGTTGCATTGATCAATATTGACTGCGCAAAAGAATTCGGTATATCGTCAGGTGTACCGTATATACATACAAGGTGTATATACATATAAGGGATACCATCGATTGAAGTTGAAGTTTCTTTTTGCATTGCAGTGTATACTGCGATTTATTATGTCATGCTGTGTCCAAGCTTTCGAGAAATTTCTTTTACGAGAAGTAAACATCCAGAATGCGTTATTTCTCAACTAATTTTTTGGACGTAGGTATTAGGAAGACTATATGTTTATGATCGATCATTCCTTTGTATAAATTTAAACAAGATATTTATTTAAAATTGTCATCTGTTTTAATTAACAAATTTAATTACATATACAAATGAATTCAGACTGAGCGACAGTGACTATAACAAATAATTTTTTACTTCAACGCGAATGGTATTAAGAAAAAAAATATAAATTTTATATTCCTTAATTAAAATAATAAGTCTATTCTTAAATAATAATAATATTGCCATCTATGGGCGATTTTTATACAAACTTAAATAAGCTCAACTTACATTCTAAGAATTTTTTTAAAGATATTTGGCATATATAATATTGCACTTTTTTCTAAATAAATTTTTTAATGAAAATTTCTTATAGCATACTGATCAAAAAAGCAAGCGTGGTGTAAGTATAGCTGATTAAAGCTTTGTAATATTATAAATATCGTCTGGTCATAAAATATTAATAAAATTATTTTCTTTTACTGTATTCTTATATATAAATATATATATACATATATATATATACACAATATTTATTTTGAGCTACAAAAATAACGATGAATAGAAAGAAAATATACGCAAAAAATAAGAGGAAAGGAGATAGATACTGATGACGTCCAGGACGACAAACTAGAAACCTCCACGGAATTTCATCCGACGAAATAAGATGTTGCTTGAGAGAGAAGGTAGAAGAAATGCTACGGAACTAACCGACATGTAACATTCAAACACCGTAGTAAAACATAATATTGCTTCACGTTTTATGAATACGTAAATGATGAATCCAATGGAATAACTAAAAGTTTTCAGTAATTGAGTGAGTTTTTATTTTTACCAGATAATTTATATTTTCTCATTTTTCAAGTTTTAAACAAAATAAGAGTTTAATAATTTGTATTTAATAACAAATGATTTTACGTTTAATATACATGCACATATTTAATGACATTGTTCCATTTAGATATGCATTATTGAATATTATCTTTTTAATTAAAACAATGTGTATAGAGGTACGTTTATCGCCTTAATGAAACTGCTGAGTAACTTATCTAGACACATTATTAAAGAATTTCGAAGGAAAAACCGAGATTTTCTACAATAAGCAACGCTGTTAGTTATCATCACTTCAAGAGTTGTTGTTACTTTCTATGATACTCATAATGATGTACCGTGCTCGTAATATTGTTGTAGAAAAAGTAATATTTTGTATTTTGGAGACGCGAAATATAATTAAATGAATAGCTTGATATAACTTAGTTGAACAGATTATTGTTAATGAGTTATAACATTTAATTATAAATTAAGTATTAATCTTTTTCACACAGATATTATATGTGTTGAGAAATGAAATTTATGATATAAAATTGTATTATACGCTAACATCATATCGTAAGACCGTTAGGGATTTGGAGTACGGTCTTTTTACATACGTATACAATTAAAACTAGAAATCATGCGAATTTCAAAACGTATATAAAAATATGCAGCCCCTTATCCATCGAAATAGAAACGAAGCGGAACAAATCCGAGAACGTATTGAAAAGAGCAACATTTTCCTCAATGCAAGTTCTTCCGTAGATTTTTATTCTATTTTTGCCACAGTCACATTCACAACGAATTCACTGTGCATTCGATACGTTTTGCACGTCCAAAAAATTTCGTTTATCGGTCAATGAACGCGAGGTCAAAAAGATTTTCAATAAATGGAAAAAGATGAACATTCAATCTTTCAACTATTAAAAGTATAT